GTTCTGATAAGACCAATCATAGGGTAATAGTGATTCTGTTGTCCTATCAAACATAAACTAATGGGTTTGACTTAGGGGTATGCTCCATTCATTTATTTTACTTTGTGTCCTAAATTCATTTTTGTTTCCCATTCCCTCTACATTTCCCGGTTCCAAACAGGATATTCTGATAGCATTTCCCACCCAACCAGAAACAGGAAGCACCTGAAAAGTCATGAGAAAGATGTCCTTGCGCCAAACCAAAGACCCATGTTTCAAGAATTCACAAGCCTGGGCCACCTTGGATAGACGCCCACACTGAGAGGCTTTCCTTAATTAAGTCAACCTTCCAACAATCTGAAAGGAGTACAACTGACCCCCAGGGACCCGGGAGAAGGCCAACAGCTGACCCCCAGGGACCCAGGAGAAGGCCAACAGCTGACCCCTGGGGACCCGGGAGAAGGCCAACAGCTGACCCCCAGAGACCCGGGAGAAGGCCAACAGCTGACCCCCAGGGACCCGGGAGAAGGCCAACAGCTGACCCCCAGGGACCCAGGAGAAGGCCAACACCTGACCCCTGGGGACCCGGGAGAAGGCCAACAGCTGACCCCCAGGGACCCGGGAGAAGGCCAACAGCTAACCCCCAGAGACCCGGGAGAAGGCCAACACCTGACCCCCAGGGACCCAGAAGAGGGCCAACAGCTGACCCCCAGAGACCCGGGAGAAGGCCAACACCTGACCCCCGGGGACCCAGGAGAAGGCCAACACCTGACCCCCGGGGACCCAGGAGAAGGCCAACACCTGATCCCCAGGGACCCATGAGAAGGCCAACAGCTGGCAATCCCCGCAGACCCGTGAGGTGGCCACAACTACAGCACAGCCTGTGGTCTTCTGGACACTTCCTCCTGTCATCTGTGCTCCTCACCATGACCCTCAGGGAAGGATGCAGCAGAGGCATAGCAGTGTCCATTCCCACTGGGGTCCAGCCACTGCCTTGGGGTCCTGGAGGCCAAAGCCCAAAAGAGCAGGCCTCATCCAAGCCTCCATGTGGTCTTGGGGGGTCTCTCCATAGAAAGTGTGTCCAGGGGAAGCAGTGCCCCTGTCCCCTGCCGCCACCACCAGGATCCACGATGGGACCCCACCATCCCTCTCTTTTATGAGCTCCAATGGGCTGCAGACTAAGTGGGCCTATTTTCCAGTTGTGAAGTGAAACAGTCCTGCCTCAATGCCTCCTTGAACCTGGGTGGGGTCTGGCCTCCTGGGGAGGTGTGCCCAGCAGTAACCACGGGCACAGAATTCTCTCCCCACACAGCACTTCCACTTGACTCCAAGTCCCCCATTTTCCCTGTAGGTAGGGAACTTGACAGTTGGGGTGGTGTTACCTGCATTCTACTAGGCATTTAGCACCCTAACAGATACTTAATAAAATTAATTGAACTATTCTTGGTAGACAAATGAGCCACATGTTCACCATACAGTATATTAGCACATAATATGGTATATTAACATATATACTATATAATATACCCTCTATACTACATACTACTATATTCACATATAGCACATCATTGTGTATATATACAGCAGGCACTGTTCTAGGAACTTACAAGTTCTAACTCAGTCCCCTTCACAGCCCTGGAGGTAAGTTAAGCACAAAGAGGTTAAGTCACTCATCTGAAGTCACCATCAGCAAGTGGCAGAGCCAGGACCTGAGCTCCAGCAGCCTATGCCCAGTCGGTGCTCTCAGCCACCACGTTACTTTACTGTCCATTGTGTGGCAAATGAATAAAATGGAAAACCCCTGGCCTTGAGCCAGCCGCATCACAGGTCCAGACCAGAACGGAGACAGGCTGGTCTACCTGAACAGTCGTGTCCGTCTCAAACATTCCGCTGGACTCAGCCACAGTGGGCCCCCCACCTGGAAGGCAGAGTTTGCATCACTGAGTAATTCCACATTAAAAGAAAATAAGGGTTGCTTAAGAGCCAAAGTAGGTTTAGTTTAGACCACAGAACAGAGGTGGAGAGCCCCAAAGCCAACAGAGCAGAGGCAAGGGCCCTCCAACTGGCCTGTAAGTCCCACCCCACCAGGCCAGCCTTCTAGGGAAACCAGGGTGTCTGCTGCCCCTCATCTGCCACAGGACCAAGAGCCACCAAAACAATCTGTTCGGTCCCCTGTGGTCCCAAGGGGCTGCTCCTGTCCCCCAATGAACCCCACCCCCTCCTCTCCCTGAGCCAAGGGATGAGTCAGGACAGGAAGCCTGTAGGTGCCCATCAGGAAGGAGGAGAGCGCGGAGCACCTGCTAACTTCTTTGTCGGCTCATTTGGCTGGGATGAAGTCAAGGGCCAATCAGAGAGGGATCCCACAGCCACTGCCACGTGAAGAGCCTGGGTTCCTGAGACGGGCCCCAGGTCAGCCGGCTCCCACTGTGCACTAACGTGAAATCTCACAGCAAGCGGTAACAAGCGGCCACTTCTCACTCGTACATCGGACCTGCCACCGGGTTGGCTCACCTAGCTGCAGGTTCAGTTCCTGTCTGCTCCACGTATCTCTCCTGGGACCAGCAAGCGACAAGGGGCGTATTCTATGGAGGCGATCAGAGCACCCAGATGCCTCTTCAGGCCTAGGCTCAGAGCTCACACACTGTGAATGAGGGACTCATGGAGCCCCGCCTATCACCTGGCCCTGCTGCTGCTCTCTGTGGTTCACGCAGGCTTCCACATGCCTGCCAAGCGTCACGCCAGAGCCCCAGCTAGGATGACAACAGGCAGAGCCTGCTCTTAACAGCGATGACATCCAAAATGTCCATACACCCCACCTTGGGATACCTCTGGGCAAGTCCACTCACCCTCACCTGTTTTGTGAGGGTTGGTGACTGACTCTTTTTAACTTCTCGTTTAAACTGCAAACTCCAAAACACAGACAAACAGAAATCACCACTAACCAGTGGGGCACAAAATGGTTTGCTGAGGTCAGATTCCAAACCCAGTGCTGCCATTTACCTGGGAGTGACCTTTGGCGATTAATTTAAACCCTGAGTTTCAGCTTCTTTGTCCGTATCAGGAAAATGGCAACATGGAAGCCCACCTATGGGGACACACCCTTGTCCCTCAGCCAGCTCTGCATCTCTCTGGCAGAAGTGTTCCCTGCCTACACACATGGCAGGACAGAATGCCAAGGGGATAAAGACCCTGCCCCCTTGCCCCTGGGCCAGTGTAACGGAGGTGTGCTCTGCGCTAGCCCCAGGGACGGGGCCTCCACTGCCCGCAGGGTGACCTGTGGGTAACAGGCTTCAGGGCTGCCTTCCTTCCCTTTCCTACTTCCCACTCCCTCTGGTGTCTTCTGGAATAACCTCCAATATGAACTCTTCTATTCAAACCCAAGTGAGGGAATACACCTGTGCTCCAGGGGTTTTGTGGAGATTAAATGAGAGAATGTGCAACGTCCCCAAACCAGCACTGGCCAGCTGCCGGCCCCGCATCTGCTCACAAACAGATCATTCAAAAGTGTGGCTGTGCTGGCTACAGGTGTGCATGGACATCCGGCCCGAGCAACCTCTCCTAAGGGCCCTCCTTTGGCTTTCTGGTGTGCAGGGTGGGCGGTGTGCACAGGAATCATTAGAGATGCATCCCTGTCTCACAACACATCTGGGAAAGCCAGGCTGCTGGTCCTGCTGCATCAGGACCACTGCCAGTCAGTCCCCTGACTCCCCCGCCTCTCCCCAGCACCCAAGGGCCCTTCCCTTTTCTTCCCAGGAAAAAAGGAATAAGCTGGGTCAGCCAGAATACAGACGTGACCTGTTATTTATGTATTTATGCCACCTATTCCACTCTCTCAACTGATTATATTACCATTTTTCAGATGAAGTTTTTCTTCCAAGTGGAGCAATGAGGAGATAAACAGGGCCAGAGTTCCATTTCCCAACGTGGCCCAGCCAGAGCTGTTCAAATGCACAGGGAAATCAAAGTCTTGCCCTCAGGGAAGGAGAGGGTCTGCCCCTCCCCAGCAACTCAGGTGCTTCTGTGAGACCCTTCCCCAGAACACCTGCGCAGGCCACCTGAACCCCCTTCAGGGCCCCAGCAGGTCCTCCTCAAGGCAGAAAATGTGTGCGCCCAGACAGCAGGTGCCAGAACCACCGCTGGTGGCCACAAAATTTGGAATGTGGGAAAACCCAGGGAGGCTCCGAGGACACGAGGACATGGTCTAGCAGAGACATCTACCGAAACAGACACACAAGGGGAGAATTAAAATGGAAACAGCCCAGCACTTACAGGAGAAACAGGTTCTAGCTCGGAAGTTGGCAGAGAAACCTGAGAGTACAGGCTACAAAACTGAAGAAAATGACAGTATTTTCTGAATCCTTAAAGTTCAAATCTGACTGAACTAAATAATGATCAGCTTAATGGTCCCCAGGGCTCCAGTGTTTGACAGTTTTAAGCAGAGAGCCTGAGAAAACATATTTTCCTTCCAAGACCCCAAATGCCCTTAGTGAGGAGCTCTTAAAGCTGCACAGATGGTGCCCTTGGGCATCTGCCAAGGTGCGTGACCAGAGAAGAGGACAGTCAAACAACAGCATCCTGGCCTTCTCCTCCCACCGCCCAGGATGTTTGTTCACAGGTGTGGCCAGGAGATGTCTCAGGAGCTGTAAGGACCATTGGGGGCTGCACAGAACTGTGGACTGTCTGAGCCAACCTCTCAGTTTTCAGGTGAGGAAACTGAAGTCCAGAGAGAGAGAGTAAGTTTCCCAGGGCTGCACAGCACCTGGCAGTGCAAGGAAACAAAGAGTTGTGTGTGACCACGTGGCGGAGGCCTGGTGAATTTCAGTCTCTGAGATGCCATAAAGCTTAGTAGACACTGTGGGCCCTGGGATGGGACCGCCACCCCCTCCTCATTACCTGGGCAGGGCGTCTGGCACCAAGAGGCCCTCTGGGGACATAGCACTGTCCTCCTGGGGGTGATGGAGATGGTGGGGGTGCTTGGGGCACCATGTAAGCAGGGGTTCCAGACAGTGGACAGCACTCACCTTCATAGCAAGGGATCAGCGTCCTGCCTTTGGCCTGCAGGTTGGACGGGATGATGTAACAGAAGCCATGGGGCAGGATGTGGTCAGTTTCATAGTAGATATTCTTCCAACGGTGGGCACAGGCCTGGAGGACAAAGAGGGTTTCAGAACAGGAAAGTCAGGCCCAGGAGGTCGCAAAGCAGAGCCCTAGCAAAGCAGGTGGTTCTGTGGGAGGAGAGGAGCACAGGGGCCAAGAAGCCATCTTCTCTCCCACCCAGATGCACCTAGGCAGCAGGCGCTGTTCAGGGTATATCAGCAAACTGCGGGAACACAAACAAGCCCCCAGGAGGCTACTAGGATGAGACACATGAATAAAAAATGAGGACGGTAGCTAGGGCTGAGCACTGGGAAGGAAAGACACAGGTTATGGGAGAGAGTCTGGGAGTGGGAAGTCTCGCTGTCACCCAGAGGTCAGGGAGGCCCACAGGATGGGAGAGAGCCAACCATGCCGAGCATAGCAGGAAGGGTGTTCCAGGAGGAGGGGATATCAGGTGCAAAGGAAGCACAGAGAAAAGCTTGCAGGTTCCAGAGGAGAAAGGAGGCCTTGAGGCTGGACTGGACTGCCTGGCACTGCAAGGAGATGAGGCCGTCACAGCTGGGAGGGGACTAAGGAGCAGCGCTGGCAGAGGCCCTGGCATGTGTGAGGACTGAGGCTGTCAGGGACAGAGAGGGACTCCTACAGGTCCCTGGTCTGCTCTGGAGGGCAGCCGCTCAGCTCAGATCAAACCTGTGAGGGGCAGCGTTCAGGGCCAGGGGCCAGGGGAGCAAGGCTGGGTTGCCCTGCCCTCCCCAGGGGGCACCCCTGCTTTCTGCTGGGACCGATCTGTCCTTCCAGATCCTGCACATCAAGGAGTCGGCCTGCTCACTCCAGGGCGAGCCCTATGCCGGCCCAGCCCAGCCCCATCTGCCCACCTCCCACCACTGCTATGATCAGTTCCCTGTGCTCCAGCCAAAGGGTGCACTTTCTTAAAATCTACATTTTAAAATAATCAGTTTTTAGCTTCTTGGTTTGTTTCCTTCAGCAAGCCACCTTCCCTCCTCCCCACCTGATACTGCTTTGTGCTCGTGGCGCATTTCTCAACAGACTGAAAGAGTCAAGGAGCTATAAAAGTACATCGCAAAGCAGACCGCCGCTCCATTCTGCTAAGGAATTGATTTTTTAAAAATTCTTAGCTCTGACTCAATTCTGATGGCTTAAAACTTGAATCCCTTATTATCTAATCAGCTGGTAAATGTCTTATATTTTAGTTTATGAATTCAGCTACGCCCTTGGTTTCTAGAGCTCACCATATTTTATGGTATTTCTGAGTTGGAAGGACTGTAAATAGAGGTGGATGTTTATTGCAGGGCACACTGACTCTTCTAAGAACTTTTTGCATTTAAAGTCTAGTTTATTGTCTCATTTTTAAGTGCCATAAACTGTCTAAGGAGTGATCTTAGATAATTCCTAGAAGATCCAAATATTGTGTTTCACAGTTAACTAAACAAAAATTAAGGCAGTCTAGGAGGTCAGAGATCAAAGTGCCAAAGGCAAAATCTATATAGGAAAACAAGAAGGGTGCCTCTGAATATAAATTATAGAAAGAAAAGACTGTTTAGCCCTCATTATCATTATATATACACACATGCCAATCGGACTCCTACATTAAAAAAATCCCTAGGGCCCGCCTCCAAAGCATTAAGGACTCCATCTATCTCCCCAAAAGAATTCTGCTGTGAGGCAGGAAGTGGGGGGCCGGGCAGAACAGGAAAAGGGGAGCTTTCTCTGGAAACAGCAAGCCTTGATCAAACTCAGATTCCAAATAATCCTAAGAAAGGGGGAGGAGGGTCCAGCACCACCCCAAATCTTAAAGGCTGACGTATTTCAAGCTATAAGAATTATTCTTCATCCCAAAAGAATAACAAGGAGAAAATGAGCAATTTATTTCAAAGGCCTTTTCTGTTGTATGGAAACAGCCTGTCCCTCCTTGGGGGTGGGCACTGGGACCCTTCCCAAATGGCTCGGCCAGAGGCATGTAAGCCCCCTTCCCCCTCCTGCTGCCCCCTTGCACATGTATCTGCCACACACAGAGGGCCCAGGCTTTCACCCTGCCTCCACCCACCCTGCAGGCCCAGGCCCTGGGCCCTCAGAGGAGTGGGTGGGAATCATGGTCACAATGCCCCAGATCTGGCCCCTTCCTCCTGAAAAGAAGCACCCCCTCTTATGGAGGAGCAGGGCCTGAAAGCCACAGGGAACGATTCTGCGGTGCTAGGAAAGCTGTCTCGAGATATTCACCAATGTTGAAAATTCCTCAAGTCGCACCCAGGTGACCTGTTCTGTTCCCTTCCTGAATGTATTACAGCTCAATAAAATGTTAACTAAAGAAAAAAAATTAGAAACAGGACCACAGAAGTAAATGCAAAGTGTTCGCTTGGCTTTGAAAGGAATGGACAGGTAAAAAGTGATGAACAGATAGGGCCTGCTCTGATGTCTGGAAAGGAACCGGCTAAGAGCTAGAGCCGCAGACACCACTTCCACCCAGAAATAATCCAGACGTTTCAATGGCTGCTGTCTGAGCCCTGGAGACTAATGAAAGGCAGACACGTCAGACTTGGCTGCCAAGCTGCTCTCCCAGGTCCAGGAGCAGCGCTGGTGACTATGCTGGGGTTTTTCTCCCTGTTTCTTACACTGTCATCTGCACCCTGGGAGAGCAGGGTGACAATGGGGGAGGGGAGGGGCTTGCCTGTGTGCACACCTGGTATCTTCTGTTTCCTGGGGGAAAACTGGAAGGTATGAGAGCTGAGATGGGCAGGTACTAGGCCCAAGTCAGCCTGCTAGCCCAGACCAACGTCCTGGGTCTTGCCAGAGCTGATTGCTGGGTCCATGGGTTAGAATATGCCATTTGTTAATGAGACACTGGACAACCTGTCACAGCTTTCAAATTCTCCATCTGTTACTTTGAATCAACACTATCTGCCATTTTCAAAAAAGCCAGCCTACTCCTCCCTCTTCAAAACCAACCTTGGAATCTGGTATTATGCTCCATGGGGATGCAGTCTCATGTCCACACCCCCAGGCACCTCCCAAGTTCTCAAAGTGTGTGTAAACAACACATCTTCACCTTTCTTCCTGATCCTTTTTTTAAAAAATAAATACTTGGCTCCTAAGAAGGTCTGACAGGTGGATTTGAGACATTAAAGAAAAACCAAGTGGATACCAGGCCTCCAAAATGTCAATGTGGACTAGGTTGCCACTCCTCGCACCCTGTTGTCACCTATCGTTTCTAAGGGACATTCCCAGCATTTTGTTTGTCTTGCGCTTCTATCAAATGCTTAGAATCAGCCACCAAGAAGAGATGGCAACTGACTTAGTTTCTAATTATTTTAAAATTGACACTCAGCCTCTGTATTATTTAAACACTTTAGATACCACTTCTTAATCTTCTCCAAGCACTTGAGAGTGAAAAGAGCAGATCTGGTCTCTGTCACCATGTGGTTCCCATAAGAACGAACACATACACACAAAATAAGTCATACATATAAGATAACAACATAATGCTGAGTTCCTAATGACGCAAAAGATGCTAAGCTTGTTCCAGAAGGTGCTGTCACCAATGACAGGCTTCATGGAACAGGCATGGTCTAAACCAGGGAGGACAGAGAGGGTGGGAACAGAAGAGGACTTAGGATAAGCCGTTCCTTGTGAGACAGCACATGTGCAAAAAGCCACAAGGACAATTCTACAACAAAAAACAAACCACTTTAAAAATGGGCAAAGGACTTGAACACACACTTCTCCAAAGGAGATCAACAAATGGCCAATAAGCCCATGAAAAACGGCTCGAGATCACTAATCATTAGGGGAAATCAAAACTACAATGAGATACCACCTCACACACATTAGGATGGCCACTATTTAAAAAAACAGAAAATACATGTTGGTGACAATGTGGAAATATTAGAAATATTGGAACAGCCTCTGTGGCAGTTCCTCAAAAAATTAAAAATAGAATTACCATAGGATTTAGCAATCCCACTGTCTGGGTGTATGTATATATACATATACATACATATATACATATACACACACACACACACACACACACACACACACACACACACACAAAATAATTGAAAATAGGGTCTGGAAGAGATATCTGCACACCCATGTTCACAGCAGCACTATTCACAATAGCAAAGAGTGGAAGCAACCCAAGTGTCCGCCCACAGATGAATGGATAAAGAAGACGTGGTACATACATGCAAGGGAATAATACTCAGCCCTAAAAAAGGAAGGAACTTCTGACACCTGCTCTAACATGGATGGACCTTGAGAAATTATGCGCAGTGAAATAAGCCAGCCACAAAGAGACAAATCCTTCCCACAGCACTTATGTGCTCTCTCAGGTAGTCACCCTGGCAGCAACAAAAGGATGGTGGCCGCCAGGGGCTGGGGGAGGCAAAGGGGAAGTTGTTCAGTGGGTACAGAGTCTCCATTTCACAAGATGAAAAGTTCTAGAACCTGGCTGCACAACAATGTGCACACAGGTAATACTGCTGTACATACACTTAAATTGGGTAAGGTGATAAATTTTATGTTGCATTTTGGGCCACAGTAAAAAGAAGGCCACGAGGAAAACATACCTCCCTATGTACTTACCAAATGGATGATTCAGTAATTGTGCAAACTGTGAGAAAAGGAGTGTTGTGCACAGTGAGTTAGAAACGGGGTCCCAGTGCCTTTACCACAAATGCCCCAGCTCTGCCTCCTCAGCTCCCCCCGCTGCACCGTCCCATGATTCTCCCTGAGACTAAGTCCCCAGAGATGGCCCCTCCCTCACGCAAACTGCAGAATGCAGAACCCTGTGGAAATAAGTTCTCAACCACAGAGGTTATCCTGTGGGGAGAGGAAATATTTTCACGGGAACAGCCTCTGGCTTTAGGCACCATGCTCTGCAGAGCCTCTCTCAGGCTGCCACTAGGCCACACAGCCTCAGTTCTGAATCCTGACCTCAGGCCACCCTGGTTCACAGAGAGGTCAGTACTCCCTCCTTCCTATCAAATGGCAGCCAAGCACGCAAGGCCCCTCAACCCCTGGGGCCGGCTTGTCCGGTCAGAGTCAGGACACCATGTCTGAGGAACGCAGAGGCCTGAAGAGGGTCCAGGCAGCCCAAGCACAGGCTTGGAGGACTGGACCCCAAGACAAACGGTGGGCTGGGAGCCCTTGACTAGACTCACGACAGTTTCCAGGAGGGAGGCCTGCGACGCTGGCGACAGCATCCAGCTGCTTCCTCCCACAAGGGGCCCGAGAAGGGGGAGATGTTTCATCCATGCTGAAGAGGAGAAGGAACAGCCTCTGCATGGAGGAGGTTAATGCACAAGTGGGCTCCTCAGAGAGGGGACAGCAGCTTTTTGCCAAGATCCTTCCGGAAAAGCTGTTTCCCTGGGATAAAATACACATGGAGCCCTCAGCTTCACACCAAGGGGCCCAAAGGGAGCCTCAATAAATGGGTGCTGGTAATATTATCCAGTCTTGACCTTACACTTTCATAACAAAAATCTTCACACCGCTTCCAAAAAGAGTCCAGGGCAAGAAAAGGCCCATGCCGTCAGGAACGGTGGCTGCATTGGGAGGGGCAGGAGGGCGCATTCTGGGTGCCAGCAGTGGGGACGCATGAGTGTGCAGAGGTGAGAACACAGCCTTAAAGTGGATCATGCTAAGCATTCAGTGTCATTCCTCAGTAGGACGGGTAAAAGGAAAACTTTGAATGAACAATGCAAAACTTCTGAGGCAGGTAGAAATTTCCTTTGTACTCCCACAGAACTTTCTGCAATGATGGAAATGTTTCTGCTACGCCATCCAGTGCAGCAGCCTGTAGCCACATGCAGCTATTGATTACTTGGGGCTAGTGTGACTCAAGAACCGAATTTTTAATTTAGGTAAGTTTAAATTTTAATAACTGTGACTGGCTGCCACTTTCCTGGACATTCAGCCCCAGGATATCCCAAGTCCCAGAGACAAACATTTGCTTGCCTCTCCAAGCACCCCATGGATGGAATACATCACATGCACTTGAGGAGCCAAATAAGTGACTATTTAAAATTAACATGCATTTCATAAACTACCATGTAGGAAAAAAGTAAGAATGAACTACTGAGACACACAATGCAGATTATTCTCTACTGTTATTTTGAGGGAAAGAGGCCTTACACAAGAGAACACACACTGTAGGATACCATTTCCACGAAGTTCTAGAAAAAGAAAAAGCAATCCACAGTACCACAAATCGTAAGTATGGCTGCTTCAGGGTAGGACAGGTTGACTAGTAAGGAATGTGAGGGAACTTTCCAGAATGACAGAAACTTTATCTTGACTGGAAGGGGCTGGTTACACGGGAGCGTACAACTGTCAAAACCTAAAAGGTTGAGATCTGTGCATTTTACGAAAATTATACCTCACCTTAAAGACACATGCACAAAAAATACTTATACAACGAACAAGATTCACAAAGCATTTTTCACGTGCATTTTGTCACATTTCAATAACCACATCTCTGCACCCTAGGACAGACATTATGTACATTTGACAGATGAAGAAAACAAAAAGGTCAGCCATTTGTCCAGGCAGTCATCCAGAATGGGCAGCCTCAAAGCCATGGCCTGTCACTAGATTCCCTAAGGGATCAAAGTCCCCTTTGTCAGAGGGCACCTTACCAGCACGCGGCCATCAGCCTTGGGCTGCCGGGCCAGGCTCACCCCCATCCACTCGTCGTCCCGGTCTTCCCGGCAAGTCTTTCCACAGGGCATGCCCCGACTATTCCCTGGTGAGAAAGAGACAAGGCGGACACAGGTTGAGGAATGAGGCTGCGTTTCGAAGGGTGGTCTACAGCCCACATGCTCATTACCAACCTGTGAGCAAAAACAGAACCTGCCTCAAAATGCAGTGCCTTATGTATGTTCCCAGAGCCTCCATTTGTTATGTACCAGTAATAAACGGCTCACAAGCCAGTCCTCCTGAGGAACATTGAAGGGCAGTGTGGACACCTGTCCTCGACTGCTACAAAAGTCACAGCAATTCTTTGATTGAAAAAATAATAATTCAAAGCTCTGGATGGGAAAGGACTTTGGAGGAAGTGAGGGCTTGAGGATGGCTGTCATAACACAGCTCCCACTTCCTGAGTCCCCACCACATGCAAGCTCAGTTCTGTGTATTCACCTCTGTTATCTTGATCTTCTCAAGGCAATCTTGTGATGTGGGCACTTTAGTCCTGACTTTACAGGTGAGGAAACTGATGCCAAAGAGGCTATGGGACATTCACAGTAAGTCCCAACTAGTAACTGGCAGAGTTGGGCTCTGGACCCAGGCAGGCCCACCTGATTCCAAAGATGATGTATTTTCCACTGGGCCAAAGTGAGCTTTTAAAAATAACCCAGATCATCTTTCCCTACTTAAAATATAAAACCTAAAGTTGAGTTTAATGATCTTCTCCTTCAACACTCAGAATAAAACCCTAACACCTTACCGCAGCCTGCTGGGCCCTGGGTGGTCCAGCCCCAGCCCACCTTGCCGGCGTCCTTTGTTCATCACTCCAGCTACACTATGCTCGCTCTGGGCTTTAAAATGGCACATGCTCTCCTCTGCTTAGAGGTTATGCCTCCTGTACCCACTCAGCTAACTATGTATATCTTTCAATCATGTGTGGATAAATCCCACCTCCCGTCTGGGCTTCCTGCACTCAATCTGTGGTTTAACATCCCTTTTGCCCACTAATCTGAAAGGCCCAAGTTGGCAGGACCTTTGATTTGTTCACCTGTATCCCAGTGCTTAGTAGGTAATAAGCATTCAACACATGATGGATAGATGGATGCATGGGTGGAAGAAAGTGGATGAGTGCCCAGGCCACCCTGAGAAGACAAAGAGGAAAATATGAGGGAACAGAACCCACTCCACCTTAGCAGTGATATCCACCCACCTCGAGCCATGTCCAGTTCTGTGCATCTCCGGTCGGGGTTGGTGTGGACTCGGCACTTAAACACAGCCCCTGGGGACTTCACTGAAGTGCTGTACTTGGAATCTGCCTTTGGTGCGCCCACCAGGACCCTGCACATCAAGAAGAAAGGGCATTTGTCACAACCCGGTACCCAGAGGGAGGATGTCCGTGGTCAAACCCTCACTCAGCCAAGGGTGGGCTGTCAGAATGCTCACCGGGAAACCAGCCTCAGCATTATACTGGCTGGGGGGCCAGAGGAGGGCTCTTACACTGAATCTGCTAGATTTTCTCCAGGCACATTTAAAGCCTTAAGGTTGGTCAGGGACACATACAGCCAAAAAGGGTTCCTATCCAGAATCTACAAAGAATGCCTACAACTCAGTAAGGAAAATACCGACAACAAATGGATAATGTAAAGCCAAAGACTTGAACAGACACTTGACAGGATCACCAAATAGCCAACAGACATATGAAAAGGGTGTCAGATGAGATGCCACTTCACACCTACTAGAAATCTAAAACCAAGAAGACTGAAAATGTCACGTGCTGGCAGGAATATGGATCAGGTGGAACCCTCATAATCTGCTGATGGGAGTGTAAAACATTAACCACTTGGGAGAACTGTTCAACAAATTTAACAAAGTTGGACATGTGCTTATCCTACAACCCAGCAGTTTCAGCTCTAGGAATATACCCAGCAGAAAGGCATGCATATGTCAATCAGGAGACATGTACCAAAATGTTCCCAGCTGAATATGCAATGCCAAAAGCTAGAAGAAACTCAAAGGTCCATCAGTGCAAGAAAGGATAATTGTGGTATAGAGATAGAATTCTACACAGCCAAGAAAATCTGTGAACAACATTCAACTGCAACCACACAGATGAATCTCACAAACATAACACTGAGCAAAAGATGTCAGGGACCATAGCGTACTCACTGTCTGATTCCATTTACCTGAAGTTCAAAGCAGCTGACATTTACCCGTGAGGTCAGGAAAATGGTTACCTCTGGGAGGAGCAGGGAGGTGGGGAAGTTGTGGAGGGGGCCATCTGGAGGTGTTTACGGTGCTCTGTTTTGACCTGAGTGGTATTTATATAAGCGTGTGATAATTCATTAAGTTGTATGTATCATACAGTCGCTTTTCTGGATGTGTTATACATCCATAAAAAATTAAGTGGATAAATAGAGTCAGAGATGCCATTTCACTTTCACTTGTCTTGCCCTCTCCCCCACCACACAACACTGTGCGTTTGGGGGAAACAGGAAAGAAGTAACAGTAGTGGAGAATTATAAGCCACCTCCCTCTAACCCAAGGCAAACCAGAGACCACCTTGCATAGAAATGGGGCAAGAATGAAGCTCTGCATCTTTCGTTTTGAACTGAAAAGCACCCTGAGGAAGGGCCCCTCCCTACTGGAAGAACAGAGCCAGGCATGCCAAGGTGAACAAGAGGCACATTAGGGCCTGTGCGGGTGCAGAGCACGGGGGGAGGGCAAGTTACCCTCTAGATGTTCTGACCTACAGTTTTAGGTGCTGCTTCCGGAAACCAGTCAACCAGAGAGCTAATGCAAAGACTACTGAACACCACCAATCAGGCTTTGTGCTGAGCTAGGAAAAGGACGTGAACGAGACTTTAAACAAAATCCACACTGCCATCCAAAGAGTAGACAACTCCTAGCCCCCTGGTCAATGAGAACTTGGGCCGCTCCACATCCCTGGCAGCCTGGAAAAGAGAGGCACTGCTGCCGGATGCGAGGCCCACCACAAGGTACCTCCCCTGCCGCCTGCCTTGGAATGGAAAGCCCTGTCCACTGTGTATCATGGAAAAAGGGTCTCCTTGACGTTAGAATGACCCTGGAAAGCCTCTGGGGACAGGGAAAGCAGGCCCAGCTCCCCGTACTTTGTCCTGAATGCCACCTTCACCCCAGGATCATGGGGCTTCCACCCATCCACCCCTACCCTGGCCTCAGAATGGCGCTGCTCCCCCAACATCACTCGGGGTGAATACCTGTATATGAGACACCACAAGTCTGGCTGGGCCCTCAACAAAGGGACACCCACACTCATCTGGCTCAGAGACATGGTATTGGGCTCACGGCAAGGGATGGAGTACCATCTTAACTCCCACTGTCCCCAAGTCCAGTCCCTCAACACCCATGACATGAAGGATCCCTGAGGACCCAGGGAGCCTGGGAGATCTGGCCCTTACTGTAGTGTTTCTTTGCAGGTCAGTCTTGCAGGAATCAAACCCCACCGGGCTCAGGGGAGGGAAGAGCTAGGCCCCCAGGCTGCCCTGCAGCCCATTGATAACCCTGGGCAGCTGCCTGCACTCTTGTGGCCTCACTGTGGTGGCCACGGCTGTAGATCCCCATGCAGAGGCAGGGCTGGGCACACTGCCTGTGGAAATCTCAGCAAGCACTTTCCCGAACAGACCACACCGCCTCCAGGACCCACACAAGGGCAGTTTGGCCTGCTCCTGGTAGCTCTAACTCAAATGCATGATGACACACAAAACGGAACACCAGTGAGAAGCAAGCCACATTAAGGGATCAATTTCCCCCTTTGCTTCTGGGGCTGTGCCTTAGAGTCACCAGGGCAAGCCATAGGCTGCTCTCTGCAGTGCCAGTTATGTTTTCACAGGTGAGAAGAATTAGCAGTTTGACATATCTAAGCTGCTGAAACACCCACCATCTTTCCACATGTCAGACTGTAGAAGCTGCGGAAAACCCCAGGGGGACGGGGCTGGGTCCAAACATTCCCACCAACTCCAAACTTACGTTAGCATATTGGGTAAGTGCCCCTCGCAATTCACTTTACAAAAATCACGGAAATTAAACAAAGGGGAGAATTAATCATATGCAAAGGAAGGGAAATGGCTGCAAGAAACAACAGGCTGTTTCTCTAATGGGGACCCCAGAATGGCACTGGAGCCCCGGACACCTCAGATACTGCCACTGCTCCAAATATACAGACCCAGTTTCCCAGTTGCCTGAGCAGGAAGGGGCCCTGGAGAGCTTAAATCTCAGGGACTGCCTCTCCCAGCCTAGAGCTGAGATGAAAAGGAGTAAAATTTATACCAAACCTAAAGTGGGAAAAGGTCCTGCTGAATTATTTTTTTCCTTCCCAGCCCAAAGTACTCAACAGCCTAACAACAAGGGCTGATCAAGCACTGATAAGAACTTTCCGGTTCAAATTTTAATCAGCTGCTCAGATGAGGTTCCCCAAATCCCTTTGCAATGGGAAATGAAGCAGGAGATAAGGGGGGGTGTGCACACCCACGTGCGCTCATAGGGGCGGCCCGCTGGAGAATGAGCTTGTATCTCTGTGTTTACAGAACATCGTGGCTTCCTCTGCAGCCTGGCGCTGCTCTTTACCTAGGCCACCGGCCAGCAAGACTGCTATTGCAGGCCAGCTGATGAGCTTGTCTTTTCTGAGGTTAGTTCAGCTGGCTATTTGCCAGGCTGATCCCCAGAGAGTGCAATGGCCCAGAGTTCAGGACAAGCGACTGCATAGATGCCATCTGCTTTTCCTCTCGTTATTCTCTGAGTTATACAGAGACATCCCAGCCAATTCAAACATTCCCCAAACCTGCCCTGGCACTTTGGACAAGATAATCAGATGTTGCTTTCATCTATACAGATGCCTGTATAAAAAGGCCTGAGTGTGCCCACCAACAGGTTCCCACCANGTTTACATAGCTCTGTATCTTTACAGGAGTTGTGGTTGCATGGATGTATTTGTCCAAACTGGTGAAACTGAGAACATTTAGTTTCATGTAAATTACATCTCAAGAAGGTTAATTTTAAAAAGTGAATGGGACACCCCTGTAGTATGATGTGTTTTCCATTTATGTGCAACTGTACACATTTCCACATAGGTATATGGAGGCATAGAAATTTCCAGCAGGATACAACCCAAATGGCTGTATTGTGGACCTCTGGGGAGAGAGGTTGGGAGAGGATTGTGACTGAGGTAAGTGGTCAAAGGGATTTAACGACAGTGCTTTACATTTTCAGAAGGAGCATGTTCACATAGTACCTTGTACTTACATTTTCTGAAAGAGTGAACAGTAGAGGTAAGCAGTTTGCTGCCAGTCTGCAGCACACACCCAGTGGGCCAGCACAGCATCCATGCCCCGTTCTGTCTGCCCACAGCAGCCAGGAAGGAGGACAAAGGAGCCAACAGCCACCGAGTGCCAGCCGCTCAGACGTGTGACCTTGCCTGAAAAAGCCCGCATGTGGCTCTGCGGGCAGGCGGCTCTCAGGTTAGAATTTTGATTGGGAGCTCTGCAGTGCCAAAGGGCAGACCGGGTTTGGAATAGAAAGGACGTCTTTCTCCTCCCCATCAGGCCAAATTCCATCTACCCTCTCACTTTTCTAAAACATCTACAGTGCTGGCATGGTGCTGCCTAGAGGCTCACCTCTCTTCATGAGTAGTTCACACACGTTTGGAAATGTGGGCCCACCTGTTCATCTGCCCACATTGGTTACGCTCATGTCTGTCTGACTTCTAGCTCAAGGCCAGCCTGTCAGGAAAGCTGCTTGTGTACATTTTACTCAGAGGTGGCAGGTTACATCGTTAAGTGGCATAGCTGGGATCTGCACCCAGGGTGTCCATGTCCAAAGGCAGCTCTCCCCCATCTTCCCACACTCGCTCCCATGGTGGCAGTTGATGGTGGCCCTCCATTTGCCAGCACAGCCACTCCCCTGGTTGACCTGTGCATGTCAAGCTGGCAACAGAGGCTGCCCTCTGGCCCCTGACCCCTTGAGTCCTGAGGGCAAACTGCAGGTAAACTCCCTGGAGAGCAGGTGGCAGAGAAGGACTGAGCTACAGCTGCCTTACACTGTCTCCAAGGCTCCCTCCCTCCCACAAACGCCACAGCAGTGATTCTGCACTGCAAAATTACAGCCACATGGAGGACAGCAACTGAGGATTAAAAACCTTAAACCCATTAGGTTTGCTTTCCTGCATCTGATCCCAAAGCCAAAGCTTCCCCAGGGACCCACTTGTCAGTTCAACGAGTGGAATTCAATCACTGTGTGTCCACTGCACCACACAGAAACCCGGGGAATCACCCTGTATCCCTCGCTGGGCAAAATGGCCAAAACTT